CATATAGAAGAGTCGACCAGACGTAGCATTTTGATAAACGTAGTCGAATTTCGAGTTTTATTCGAGAATCACAAAGCAGTTTTTTTTATTTTTTCGAAAGATTTTCTGGCCTGTTCTATTCACGATCTTATTTCTTGATCAGGATTTAGGCTGCTATCGATCCAACATCCCAGGTACTTAATTCTATTGACCTGTTCTAAGATGTGTTCATTTATTGTGCAAGGTTGAGGTACGTTTTGGTTTTTTCGGATTGACATCACTTTGGTTTTTTTAATGTTTATTTTCATACTAAATTGCTCACAGGTCGAGTTGGTCTTGTCGATGAGTCGTTATAGACCTGAGTCGGAATCCGCAATTAACACTGTATCATCGGCGTATCTGATACTGTTGAGATTTACGCCATTCACCTTGACTCCATCCTTGGAATCCTGCAATGCTTCTTTAAATAGGAACTTGGAGTAAAGATTAAACAGCAGAGGCGACAGAACACATCATTGTCTAACTCCCCTCCTAATTTCTACTTCTGCAGATGTGAAACCTTCGATCCTAACTCTGGCGTTTTGGTTCCAGTACAAGTTTTTTAAGAATTTGATGTCTTTTCCATCTAAACCGACTTCATGCAAACGTTCTAATAGTAGTAGTAGGAATTTGAATGAAGGTCTTAATGTTCCATTTATTTCCAACGCGATAAGCAGAAATAGGTTTACTGAAATTAAAAAGTATACATTTGGCAGACAATACTCAACTCAAAAAAATTGATAAAATATCTAAACTACCATCGCTTATGGATTTACTGAATTCTAAGTTTCAACAATGAGGCATTTTTTTATCAAAATTTATCCATCAATGAGGCAATGGTCACAGACTTTGGCCACCATTCGGCAAAGCAATGCATCAAATCAATAGCAATATTACATGTTATCCAGGTTGTTAACATCCATTACTACTACTATTGTAGTGAACTATATTACTGTAGTTCACTCCAATATTTTGATTTATATAAATGTATACCTTTTACAAAGGTTTTTAATTAAATTTTTAATATATGGTATACAGCCAATTATAGGAACGTAGATTCCTTATGGATTTTGATTTAGTTTCGCTTTTTTACTTCCATATCCGGCAAACGCAAAATGTGTAGTGTTGTTGGCTCACAGTTTCGCAACTACTTATTACCTTCTAATTCTTACCCAGTTTTTGACTCCTTTTGTACGTAATAACTTGACTTTCTCCCTTTTCAAACAATGTGTTAACGATCATTATAGAATATCATCTCCTTAATTTTCTGTATAACTTCTAGTTGCAAAGCCTAGTCCACATGTGCACTAAAATCACCTCTTGTTAAATTTATGGATTTAATATTCATATCTTGGTGTTCCAATCTCGTATATGTTTATATAAATTCATGGAATATTTTGGAACTTTTTAGATCTTTTTTTGTAATCACTATTATTTCAAAATAATTTTAGATTACTGATAATACTCATAATGAATGGACATTATCCCTCCAGATACTGACAGAGAATGTAGCGTAGAATCTTTAAGTAATTTTAAACTGTTTGTCCTCGTTGTAGTGTAGTGTTTTTGTACAATTTTAATGTTATTTTTAAATGTTTCACACATTCTACGCTTGCCGGATAGTTTACATTTTGACGAAATGCCCTGAAGATGCTATTTAAGCGAAAGTACTTGGGCTAGATTTAATTAACTTGTGCTCGATAATAGCTTTATTTTCAAAGTTCATTTATTCGAGCATTCAACCTCATTTCATATATATATTCAATGGAATATTGACAACTGGAAAAATGTTTCTTTACAGATGAGACCAGAATCCTATTATATAAGCCAGATGGTTGAAACCACGTCTCCAGAGGAGTTAGAGAACGATTCGCAACGTGCAATCTTGCCCAGGCCGTTAGTTTAGTTTTGGAGGTTGTGAGTTCATGCTTTGAAAAGGTATTAGTTGGGAGGAAGGCACCGCACTTGTTGAAGTGATTGGACGGATCACTGGTGACACTTACATTCAAAATATCCTGCAAGATCATGTTTTACCATATATTGGTTAGATTGGATATAACAGATTCTTGTTAATGCACGATAATGCTCGAATACATACCGCTGCCATAGTGAGTAATTATCTTAGTGAGATTCAAATTCGAAGATTCGATTGGCCACCATTTAGCCCGGATTTAAATACAATAGAGCACATGTGCGATCAGCTAAAATGCCGCATACGTCAAAGAAATCCCGTTCCAAATACGATAGAGAAGCTTTGGTTTGCTGCACAGGATTAATGGAGTGCAATTTCCTAAGAGTATGTCCAAAATTTACTTGCAAGCATGTCGAAAAGGATACAAGCAGTAATACTAGCTAGACAAGGAATTCTCGTTACTGATCATGCACTTGTTTCAATTAAAATGACTTGTTTAAGCAATTTAATTTAGAGTGAAAAAACCTTTTTACCTAACATTATAGTACAGCCACTGGAGGTTTTCACTCCGATTTCGTTGAACCTCCATCGATTTTCATGAAAATTGGTGAATAGTTAGAGGATACCTCAAGAAACAAAAGTGACATGGTGTCAACTTGCGCTTTTACCCTGAGTGGATGTCACCCCTTCTCGGGGGTGGAAATTATTTTATAAAAAATAAACCCATAAATCGATAGAGGGACGAAATCTAAATAAAATCTAAACAAAATCTTTATAAAGTTATTTAAATAAATCAATACTTTCTAGTTATTGAAGATCAAAGATTTTGATTTTTCGTGAAAAAATGCATGTTTTAAAGTGGTTTTTCATAAATAACTCAAAAACTATAAGTTTTTATAAAAACACTTGATTTAAAAACCTTTTAATAATAATTCAAAGTAAGTTATAGGTAATTAAATGTATTTTTTTTTGGCGAGTACTCAAATCTCAATATTAAATCTTAAATAACGGGAAAACATGCATTTTATAAAATATACTTATTAAACAATTTTCAAAGCACTTAGAAATACCTATAAAATGAGCTCTAGAATAAGTTGATAGCATTAAAATTAAGCAAGTTATGATGAAAATAATAAGAGCCCCTTTCGAATTTTTTTGAAAAAAGTGAAAAAAAAAACATACGCCATTTCCAGGAAAATTAAAATTTATAGTAATTCCTATAAGACTTTTTTTATTTTAGCATAAGTAATGACCTCAAAAAATTTTCACCGGTTTAGAATGCATTTAAAAAAAAATTGATATAAAAAATCTGAACCACTAAAAATAGTGCAGTAAAGTTTTCATCTCTGGTCCCAACGGTTGCTGCATTGGATGAACACATCAAAAGAGCTTACTTACAAACCCAGATATGGCTTGGAAACGAAAGACATTTGTCCAGTTGACTGGGGATGGTGCAAAATTGAAGAGACTTTGTTTTCAATTAAAAATCCTAATCTACATGCTCCAGAAGAATTGTTAACAACTAGGGTGCGGCACTTCTTGCGGGTGTCGAAGGGTAGGGTTATTTTGCAATGCAGTCTGTGGATCATGCAGTGGGGACAATTGTCAAAATAGCCCTACAATTAATGAAAAAGGAGAAATTGGTGAAGGGAGCTCTGATGAAGAGTGAAAAATTACCAATTAAAGTACTATTAATATTTGATTATTCTATGAAACATTACTTAAATAAATATTGAATGAATTTTTTATATATTTTAATATTTATTTTAATACAGTATAAGTTTTCCTCTTAACTAACAAATTAAATTTTCATAAGCCACATAAGCACTGAAAAAACTGTTTGGGAAATGTGGAAAGAATAATATTAATACAGTTTGGAGTATATTAATAAAGTTTATCATGACCAATAAAAAAGTTTCTAAATGATTAGTAAAGCTATTAAAGATAATAAAAAACATTTTTCATTATTTTTATGACAAGGGGTAGTTTTTCAGGGTACAAAATTACGCAATACTTGTATGGGAAAATGAGACTTCAATTCAGTAATGTATTATTCAAATAATTAAAGTTTTTTGTAATAATTTTTTTTAATAATTCTGCTTTAAGGACTGGTTTTTAAGGATTGAAATTTCACAGTCAATCAAAAATTATAATCACAAACATTAAAGAAACTATTTGTGTAATATTAATATGCGATTTGATATTTTATAAATATAAAAAATGATTTTTTCAGGATTTTCGATTTAAGGGATAGTTGCTAAAAGGTTGAAAATTTAATTAAAATCATAAGTAATGCTTATAAATGTTGCAAAATACTTATTTTATTTAATTAATCGAGATTCCTTATGCCAGAATGCTTAAATCTACATTTTTTACCATTTTTGACAAAAAGGGTGGATTTCACCCCTAAAATGCAAAAAGCGCAAGTTGGGCATATGTCACTTTTGAAGTTATGGGTAAAATATACTCAATTCCAAATTTTCATGCAAATCGATGGAGGTTCACCGAAATCGGAGGTAATGGTTGATTTTTACCTTCATTCACTGTAGTATTTACATACTAGGCATTATTTTTTATCGCAATTTTCTCCGCATAAAAACTTAAATTTATTCATTAAACATTGTTAAAATAAACTCTTTTTCACAATTAACGACTTGATTAACCAGAATTTATTTTCAAAAAAAAATTGAAAATTCCAAAATATTCAACATTTTTGTTCATGAGCGTATAATTTAAAATTATTAATTAATTTTTGTTATCTTTTATAATTTCTTATTTTTTATAGCTCATAAGGTTACACCTACCCACATCTTACTAACACTTGTATTGTTGCCATTTACACGGGTCCGTATCCATATCACATATCCATAATTCTTATCTTAATTAATAATATAATTTAACACTTTTATCGTTTATATTTAAAAATATCAAAATATCCATAATTCTTATCTAAATTAAGAATATAATTTACGAGTTATGAAAATATAAATACCTGGTTTAAACGGAGTTCCTCACATTAGACAAATAAATTTTATTTCCTTGTCATAAATTCAAAACTTTATTTTTTAAAATGAAACTTATTTTTTTATTGTTTTCTCTTGTCGTTGTTAGTGCCCAAGTACCGAAACATCACAAGTTAAACCCCGTAGTTGGGATTCCCTTGAGATTCAGACCTTACGGTAATTTTTTAAATATTTTATTTTATTTTATATTATATTTTTATTAACTAACTACTAATCATTAACAATAAATCAACCTTGTTTAAAATGTTTAGCAAATGCTATTTCTTATTATTCAAGAATCTGCATCAATAGATATTATTGTAATTGATGGATTCGACCGTTACTTGATAGAAATTCATTTTATGTAACAATAAAATACTGAAAACTTTGTTTTCAAACTTCCACAAAAATTTATTTTAACTCTTATCACTACAGCATTATTGGCTGATTGCCTTTCTCAAGTGATCTATTTTTGGCATGTGTTTACACTTTATAGTCTCTAATGAAATAGGTTGAGGAGGGGAGAACTGTTTGTCTCAAGTTGGTCATTCAGAATTATATCTGTGTTTTTTAATTTGTTGATTTCCATAGATTCTAACAAGGATAGCTTAAGGCCTTTATTTTGAATGTGAAGAATTTTAAATTCGTCGTTAAAAGAGTGATTGTGATCTAGAATGTAAAGTATGTCGAATCTGTTTTTTCTATTATTGAAAGCCCTTTTATGTTCTGCTATTCGTTTGTTAAAGTTTCTACCAGTTTGACCGATGTAAGTTTATGGGCAGTCGCCACATTTAAGTTTGTACACACCACTGTGTAAGTGTTTTTTACTTTGGCTCTTGTTATTTTTGATATATTTGCCTAGGTTGTAATTTAATCGAAAAGCTGGTGTTATTTTTTTTGTATGTTTGGCTATTTTTGTTGTAATTTTGCCAGTATATGTAATCGAACATAAGGTACGGGGTTATTTCTCTGGTGGTGGAAATACTAATTTTAGGGCTTTCTTGTGTAGTTTTTGAGTTACCATTTTATTAATTGTTTGTTCATTGTATCCGTTGTTTACTGCTATTTGCTTAATTATATTTAATTCTGTCTTAAAGTTGTATTTTAACATCGGAATTTCTGTTAATCTATGTAACATACTATGATATGCTGCCAGTTTATGTTGTGTTGGATGGGATGATGAATTGTGTATAGTCGTGTCAGTATGGGTAGTTTTGTGAAATATGGAGAAGTCATGTTTGTTTTTAAATCTGATAATTTTTAAAGCTAAAAAATTTATAGATTGATTTTGTTCTGTTTTTATTGTAAATTCAATATGACTATGAAGTGAATTAATATATGATCAAAATTGGTCGAGTTGCCTGTTAGTTCCTGTAAAACATGCTAGTACGTCGTCTACGTATCTCCACCAATATAAAAAGTTTTGAAATCTTTGTATCTAGATGATCCATAAAAATATCTGATAGCAATGGGTTTAGAGGATTGGCCATTATAACCTGCACTGTTATTTGTATATATTTGATTATTAAATTCAAAGTAGTCCTGGTTTATGCAAATTTCAAGAAAGATGTAAAATTTCAGATGTAATTATTGGAATTGTACTATTTTGGTCTAAAAGGTTTTTTACTAGAATAAAAGTTTCTGTAGGAGGGATACTAGGAAAAAGATTTTTTACGTCAAATGAAATTAATCTGAAGTTGTTAGGTAATTGAAAATGTTGTATTTTATTAACTAGTTCTATTGTATTTTTTATGGTAAATTTAGGTGAAAATTTAGTGTGTTCTAAAATAATCTCTAACAGTTTTTTTGAAAGTTTATATGACGGAGCAGTATAAAAAAAACTACAGGTCCTATTGGTGATCCGGTTTGTGTAGTTTAATGAAAGAGTATAATTTAGGAGGCTGTCGGTTTATGATATTGAGGTATTTCTGTTCTATTGGATTTACTATTGATTTTGAATTTTCTAACGCCAGCTTAATTTGTTTTTGGTATTTTTCTGTCGGATCTTTGTGTAAAGTTTCAATATTTTAATTATTTAAGAATTCTATTGTTTTGTTATTAAATTCTATTTTATCTATAGCAATAGTAGTGTTACCTTTGTCCACTTTTGTAAACACTATGTTGTTTTCTATTGATTTATTTTAAATTGAAATTGCTGTTTTATTCTCTTTGTAACAGGAATTCTTAGTTTTACTACACACATCTGTAATAGATTTGGCAATTATATTTTTTTCGATATGTTGCAGTTTTGTTTAACGCTACTTCACATTCTACACCTAAATATTCTAAAGTTCTCTCATTATAATGTTGGGGCAAGTTGTGTTTAAATCCTTTCTCTAAAAGTTGTATCTCGCTATTATTAAATTGAATATCTGTTAAATTTATAAATTTGTTGAAAAAAGTATGGTTCGAAAAACTTTTTGTATAATGAATATTGGGTTTTTTACTATTGCAAATTCCATACTACTACTTTGCTACTTTATTTGATTTATTAAATTGTTGTTGTACGTAAATCTCTAGTTTTAAATGACTGAAAATTGTTATTTTGTTACTCCAATAGCCACCTTTTCTGGTTTGTTTTACCTATATTGTCTTTGTTTGGCTATCATAAATAGAACAAATAAGAATCATATTTTTCAACATAATGCTGATGCTAATTTTGCAACATACTCAACCTTATGTTTGGTTATGGTTACTAACAGTAGAGGATGCGAAGACGAGATCCGTCAACGCATCACAATGGCCAGACCGGCAACAACCAAACTCACAAAAATTTGGAAGACACTGACATCACAAAAATTACGCCTTGTACGAGCATTAATATTTCCTATCGCTACCTATGCTTCAGAAACTTGAATAAGAAAAAAGCCGATTCAAAGCGTATAATGCCATTTGAAATATAGGTCTACCGTAGAATGTTGCGCATACCATGGTACGCCCATCGCACAAATAACCCAATTCTAGCAGAACGTAACATAGAAACCTTTAATCATCACAACTATCAACCAAAATATACTGAGATATTTTGGACATATAACAACAAGAAGAGAAGGCATGGAGCGAATGATAGTTGAAGATAACTTAGCAGGTAAAAGATCCAAAAGAAGATCTCCAGTAAGATGGTCGGACCAAATAAAGGACATGGCTGGTTACTCATTCTCTGGAGGAAAACAACACGCAGACGAGACAGATAATTGGACAGAAATAGTCTAACAAATTACATAAAGCCACTATATCCCTACGAAGAAGAAGAGATAGAGGAGGAGGAGGAATCAACCTTGTAACTCATCTCACCATTATGATCCTCAACACACTTAATTTAAAGTTTAAGCTCGCTCTCATTTTCTTAGATTAAATGCCCAAGGTATAACTCTGCTTTCGTCCTTCCTACGAAATACAGAGGCGAATAGGTCTAACACGGGCAGCATTTGGCAAATTAAGCCATATTCTAAAAAGTTCAATTCCCATGTGTCTCAAGCGAAAGGTTTATAAACCAATGTGTTTTACCTGGACAAACTTATGGAGCAGAGACTTTAACACTCACGCAAAATCTGCGAATAAACTTAGAGTTACACAACGAGCCATGGAACGTGCAATGCTGAACGTGAGCCTTCGAGACCACATAACAAACCAACAAATTAGGCGAAGATCAGGAGTTCAAGACGTCATCGAAAGAACCACGACGCTTAAGTGGAACTGGGCAGGGCACTTAGCCAGAACACAAGATGGACGGTGGACAAGACGTATTATGGAATGGAGGCCCAGAAATTATAAAAGGAGCCGAGGACGACCACCGACTAGATGGACCGATGACATTAAACGTGTAGCGGGAAACTGACTACAAGCGGCCTAGTGTAGAGAACACTGGAAAGAACTGAGGGAGGCCTATGTCCAGCAGTGGACGCGATTGGCTGATTGATGATGATGATGACGATAGAATGTTAAAGATTTCTACCTTATCCCAAACTTATTCAACTCCAAACAAGATGATAGATCTCACGATATATCTCTTTAGGACAACATACAATGGATTCAACGTCTTTACGAAATATAACTTGTGAATTGCCCTAGGTAAAGATAGAGAGATTTAATTTAAACACACCACATGATATATTAGTACATATAGACATATCAAACATGATGTAAAACTTGCAGACTGCTCATTCTCGGTTCGTAGTAGAATTGATATGTTATCAGTCAATGACATGTATTGTGATTTGTCAACAGGTGGATTAATAAAACGGCAATGGCCACATACTGTAAAACACTTATCTTGGATATGTCTTTCAAGGAAGACTACCTTTCAACCCAAAACATGATACTCAATTGCAAACCTCAAATATTTATATCAACTCTTATTTTTCAACTCAGTTCATTAATTTAGTTAATAATAATGAACCTCTAGATGCTTTGTTCAATGGTTTTAAGAAGTTAGAGAACTCCTTGAAGGTTCCGTGTTGAATAGGGATGATGAGCGCGCTGAACATATCTTTCAGACCACAACACAATAATACCTGAAGGTAGGTTCTAAGTAAGTCTGCCATTCCGATCTTCTGCAGATCCCAAAAGATTCGGCAATTCCTTTTATTTTACCCGACAGAGGTTCTATAATCTTGTAAGGACACTCATAAAAAATGGAATGTTTTACAATCAGTAAAAGAATTTTATACAAGAATTTCCCTCTTGGCCATGCAACTATCGTACCCCATATACTCCTACAAACTGAATGTCCGATAACAAATACTTTATCCCATACCATTGCATTATTCTTGAAAAAAAAACTCACAAATAAACTACGTGTTGTATTTTACTGTATGAAAACTAGATTAGACGTCTTAATAAATAGCATAATGTTCAAAGGATATAAAATTCAACCTGAACTAATTGATACTCTTAAACATTTTCATGTTTTTACCTCTGGTCATACGTATACGCAAATCATCATAGACCACTCTCAAAATATATCTGCGAAACATTCTTTGGCGAAAGTCACCCAATAGGAGTTGCAATGTATCCAGTTAAATACTGTGACGTATAGTACTAGCTGTGTTAACTTTCTCAGTTGTAGATGTCTGGTAAAATTAGCTCGTACTCACCAAGCATTGTATCCTTCAGCAAGCGATGCTATTCTCAATGCATGTTATGTAGATGATATATTACAGGGCGCTAATGACCCAACAACTCTCTCAATGGCTTACCTTGAAATAACAAAATTATTGAAAAGTAGGTATTTCTTTCTTCAGTCCTGATCCCGAAGAGAGTGTAGTAATGATGGTCATTTCTTTTACCTTATGCATAAGTATTTTTCATACTTCTGTAATTTGGTCAATTCATTTTGTTGGGGATCTTCTTCTTCGTAATTTTTGTCCTACCTGTCCTGGGATAATAAGCCTTTACATGTTTTCTGTGTCTGCTCTCATAACATGTCTAAAGTATTTTAATGGTTGGAGATGGACTTTGCTGGAGAGCCGTTTGCTGACCTTTAGCTCATTTAAAATTGAATTTTTTGTGATCGGTGCACGAAATTTGTAACATTCTTCTCCAACAAAACAATTCCGTGGCGTCTATCTTTCTTCCTTCTGCTTGTAGTAGTGTTAAAAATTCACATCCGTATGTCAATATTGGGAATATTAAGCAGTTGATAACTCCTTTTTAGAGGTTAAGTAAAGAGTAGATATATCAGCCCACAAATGGTGTTCTAATTCTCAAAAGTTCTTATCAGATCTAATCAGATCTTAAAGATCTTCAATTCCTTATACATCAAGTTAACAGTGAATACTCAACACAAAAGACTTTTCATAAATATATCAAAGGCAAACTTAGTTGTGGTTAGTAAACAAGATGTTGGCCCTATGAAAATAATTGTCAACAATGAGTCCCATTCAAAAGTTAACCATTTTAAATACTCAGGATGTTTGATAAACGACACACTAAATCCAAATGAAGAAATCAAAACTAGTATATAAATGGCAAGAGAAGTATTATGGTACTCCTCTTTTCAGATTATAAATGAGACGACCTTGGGGTGTGTAGTGTGTATACCTTAGGAAAGTATACTATACAAAATCCTGCAATAATCCAAAGAAACATATGACGTAGAGGATATTAAATTAAATAAGCATAACCTAAACCAAACCTGAGCACCATTTTGCCTTGAATTAACACCAAGGCGGGAGAACATAACCTAATCTGTCAACGGCATAGGCATTATTTTCATCAATCAAAATCAAAATTTGGCCCCTAGTCTCTGACAGATCTTCAATGTTTCAGAGAGTGTTAAGAATCCTTGGGTAGAAAATTAAAATATCTACATGGAATGTAAAAACATTACACAAAGCAACTAATGCAAATACCGAGCTAAAAATAATTTAGTAGGTATATGTAAAATGGCCCTGGATGAAGTCCTGACCAATCTTAAGAAAGGACTGGTCTAACGATAACTGATCTTTTATGAGCTGCTGTGAATAGAATAAGATGGGTCAAAGTGGTCAGCAACATCACTAGAAGATAGGCACCTTTAGAAGAAGATATAAGATAAGATGGAAGGATAACAAGAATCAAGTGTTACTAAAAAAGTAGCTTTATCTACTCAGGAGGAGAGACAGCTCAAAATTGTATTGGAATTTAAGTCACTGCGGCAGTTGCAAAATCTGTTAATGAGATTTCTACCAATCAATGATTGAGTTATGCTGCTCAAACTAAACGGGTAGCCATTTGATATAGAATTAGTATAAGTATATGGTAGCTGAACACAAGTTCTGCTCATAACAACAATGAAAAAGCAGATAAAATAGCCAAACAAGGCTCATTAATGGCATTCATTGAACCTAAACCCTTCTGTAGCGTTGCAAAAGCAGTAACAAGAACAGCTACAAGAAAGTGGAAATTTGCAGATGATGATCTATACAGATTCTGCCACCTAGAAGAAGAAACAACACAGCATATTTTGTGTTGGTGCGATAGCCCGGATAATGTGTGGTTCTTTACATTAGGCGAAGAAAAGCCACCGGCAAAGAGCTAAATAGAAGATTTAGTCTCAAAGCTAGTATACCTTTTAAAAAAGGTCAGGCTAGAGAATGTAACCTAGCAATACACGACCACAATACATCTGGAAATCGTAGTGGACTAGGCCAAATGTCACTTCATTAAATCTATCTATCAATCTAAGTGCTCCTGCAATCTTATACGCTTCTTTAATTGTATATATGAAACTGGGACACTACCTCAAAACTGGCTCACAACCACATATATACCACTATACAAGAAGCATTATGTAAGAAACATGAGAAGCAAAATTACTTAAAGTATGGGGTGAAGTCAAAAACAAAATTAAAAAAAAATCTTTAATTCATTCAACGTTTAAAAACTGTTTAAAACGTAATGTGGCAGTGTAAGATCTTTTCTAGCAGGACTATCATCCTCTCGTTCCCTTAAATTGATTTATGCGGTGACACCTATAACAAAGTTGCAATAGTGAAATTAAAAACAGTGAGAGTTAAGAAAAAATAAATATAAGTTTTAATTAGAATGGCTATATAATATAAAAATGGTATTTAATATATTTAATTTAGTTTAAATTCCAACATCTAATTAAAATATTTTTTTATTTGTTATAGAATGCTTCTTACCTGCTGACGTACCTCCATGCGTAGGTGATTCAGAAGCTGTTACTATTTGGAGATGGGACAAATGGACTAATCAATGTGTAGAAGATGTTCATAGAACCTCATGTATTCCCACCAGGAACAATTTTCAAAGTCTATACGAATGTATTGATATAGCAGAACCAGTTTGCAGATTAAATATAAATTAAGTTTTTAAAAATTTGTGATTTAGATGAAATAAATTCCGAGAGAGATTATTACTGCATTTTAAAAGTTTTATATTTCAATATGTACAGAATTTAACTGGAAGAGAAAATAAGAGTTGCCTCTAATTAAACAAGAATCTCTATACTAATACACCAGTTTGACTTTAACAAAAAGTAGTGAATACGATTACGGCATCTGAATTGTTTAGGATCTGTAATGCGGGTAAAGCAAAATGACCCAGGTAGAAAAACGCTCATTGATAGACCCATTGGTCAGATAAGAAAAGAAAGATCCAGATCAAGGCATCGATGAAGACAGATGGGGGAGAAATCTGGGAGGCGAAAAAAGACGATGGAGAGGGACGACTGAAGAAAAATTCTTGAAGAGGCTAAGACCCACATAGGGTTGTAAAGCCAAAATGATTATGATGGTGATGATGATGAAACATTAAGAATAACTTTGATTGAATCGGTTCATCACAATGGCCTTTATGGTCCAGATTTCTACACCATATAGCAGTATGAAGTAAATGTAACATTTTACAAAGCGCTATCGAAGCATTAAGTTAAAACTGTTGTTGCTTAGCAAGGTTCTCATATTAGTAAATGCTGTTCTGGATTGCTCAATCCTGCTACGTATCTCTATGTCTGGATCTAGATCTTCAGTTATTTAACTACCGAGATATCTGAACTTGGAGACCTTTTGGACGTTCTTATTGTTAACTCTTATATTTAATTGCATATTTCGTGTTCTACTAACTACCATTACCTTCGTCTTGTCTACATTAATCTTCAAGCCCAGTCGTTTTCCTTCAGTGTTTATTCTATCTATTAGTCGTTGTAGCCGTTCTTGGCAATCTGCTATTATGACTGTATCATCAGCATAGCAAAGATTACTAATAGTCCGCTGATTTTGATTTCATCTTCAGTGTCACTTAAGGCTCTATTGAAAATCGTTTCAGAGTAAAGATTAAAAAGGAGGGGTGACAGAACACAAACCTGTCATACACCTTTTTTGATGGAGAAATATGATGTAGATTCCAATCCTACTCTCACAAACGCCACTTGATTCATATAAAGGTTCTTTATGATTTTAAGGTCATTCTCATCTATTGAACGTTCTTCGAACAATCTTACTAATTCTGAATTATTAACACAATCGAACGCTTCCTGCTAATCTATAAAGCATAGGAAGACATCTTTTTGCTGATCTCTGCATTTCTGAAGTAGGATAGTTAAGATATGCTTCGCTTGTATCAAATCCTTGTCTGAAACCGAACTGTGTGGGGCTAATGTCTTTTTCACATCTGTTATATATTCTTGCGTGAATTATCTTTAAGAAGAGTTTTAGGACCTGGTTCAATAAGCTGATCATTCGGAATTGGTGGCAACTATTAGCGTTTAGCTTTTTTGGGATTGGTATAAAGGTGTATTGAAGCCAGTCCTGTTGTATTTGACCAGATCCATAAATGTCATTAAAAATATCTACCAAGGCGTCTATATTGTCTTCACTCAACATTGTTAGAACCTCTATGTATATCGTCTGGACCTGGCGCTTTTCCCTATTTGCTCTGTTTGATTGACCTTACAACTTCTGACTTCAGTATTGGGATGGGGTTCACTTTTATATTCACTTTCAGAGTTTCTTCTAGTGTTGTCTGAGTATAGTTGTTATGTGTAGTTTCTTCAATGTTGAAGTAGATCCTTGGGATCAGTAATTAGTTTATTGTCCTTCACAATACTGTTAAAACTGCAAGGTTTTGTACCTGTCACTTCTTTAACAAGTTTATTTATGTTAAAGTGGTCATGTTTTTCTTCCAATTCCTCCATTTCTGCACACCTGCCTAGCAGCCATTGTTCTTTAGCTTTGTGACACTCTTTTCGTATTTGTCGGTTAATCTGAAGATGCAAAATCAATAAAATCGAAATATTTTTTACAAAATCTCCCTTTACAGAATTTTCCGCTTTTTCCGGGAGGTCAAAACAGAACAAAAAATCAAGCTTATGTGCAATTTTAAGTTACATTATCAAAAAAAAAAATCGGAGCCCAGACAAGCGGTATTTAAGGAGTACAATCACTTTAACGGATTATACTTTTCATTCCTTCTCATTTATGGCTCTATCTCTCATTATTCCTCTGATTTTCTCTCCATTATAATGGTGGTCTTCCCTTCCTTTTTCTGTTCCATGAAACATAATGTAAAATTTGCTTTGGCTGGCGTTCATTTTTCATTCGCATTGCATGTTTAACCATAAAAGTTGTTTTGATTTTATTACTGTGTTGAAATTCTTCGTTTTCTTTTTCTTATTTCTTCAATTGGGATGTAGTCAAGTCTGGATAGTCATCAAGTTTTTCTTAGATAGTCAATTTCTAACAATTCCAGTTTTTTCTTATCTTTCTTTTTTTCATTCTATAACCGACTTGTAGATTGTCATTTTTGTTCTTAAATTAATTTAGAAAACCAAAGTATTGAGTTTAGTGGCTGTACCACATGTCGGTCCTGTTGTATTTTCTGCTGAATGTCCCGTTTCGGTGTTCTTTCCTTCGCTTCCACTGTCCCTAGGTATTTAAATTATTTTTATTTTTGTATCTCCAATTGAAAGACATTCCGTGTTGTTAATGTTGATGGTGAGTCTCCTGGGGAATTTCCCCAGGGTAGCGGGGAATTTAAATATCCCCTGGGGTATTTAATTCTTGCATTACAATATGAAAATCCTGAATTTTTGAAAAATGTATGGTTTTTCAGACGAAGCACCTTTTTATTTGTCAGACCATGTATCGTCGTACAAATCGATTTCTGGGCTTTGCCAGACTACATGAAGTTTAAGAAGTTCCTTTACATAGCGCTAAAGCGAATGTCTGGGGTGCAGTTTCGGGACACGGAATCATTGGTCCATACTTTATCGAAGAAAATGGTAGGCAAGTCACACTTAATCAACAGAGGTACATACAAATTTTAACAGGCTTTATCCCTGATCTAGGATTCTAGCAGGATGGGGCAACTTGCCATACTGCTGCCGCAGTTCGTCAATATCTTCAGGGACATTTTCCAAATAAATTCATTTCACGATTTACTGACTTCTCCTATTCTGCACATTATTCAGACTTAACGTCTCCAGACACGTACATTTGGGGCTTGGCTAAAACTGCCGTTTTTAAACGAGCACCACAAACCATCAATGAGTTAGAGGATGCCGTTAGAGCCTTCTTCGCGGACTTGAGACAACTTTTATTCCATAATATTACGAGAAATCTGGAATATCGGTATGAAGTCTATCTTAAGAGAGGAGGAGCTCATTTAGAACATGTTATAAAGAGTCAATAACATGTATTTTTTTAAACAATATAATAATTACAAGTTCAGCACTGTTCATTTTGGGCTATACTGTATATAAAATTATTTCTATTACATTCAGTTTAAACATGTGTTACAATACTCGATACATGCGAAATAAACGATCAAAAACAATAAATATACTAGTACACTATAACTAATTCTACACCTTTTGTGTACAATTAGTTCTTCGGCACTCCCAACTTTTTTAATGCATTGTGTTAAAGTATACTGCAAACTTACTGAGTAAAATTTAAGTCTAAGAGTCAGTTTGTGTACATAGAGAAAAAAGCGGTAGGCTTTACCTCTAAAGATACGGTTGATGTCCATTGTAAACTTTACTAGATGCATCAGAGTTATTTATCTTCTAATTAAAGTAGAGGAATATAAATATTGTTTAAGACGAAACCTGTTTCTTCGAAACTCGATAGAAATACTTCAGGAGAACATCCCACGAACTAGACATTGGTGAGTTCGTCCAGAGTCGGCGTTTAAATGATTTTATGGTAAGGGCAATAATATTTTTTAAAACTCATTTAAAAAATAGTTTAGAGGTTATTTTTTTTAATATGGTTTATATATATATATATATATATATATATATATTGTCATCAAGTGCCGATAGCTATCGATCTACAGCGAACACTTGATGTGCATTCGCCCCGCCCACCTTACCTATTCTCTTAATTTTCATTGGTCTTTTGGTTTGGAATTCATATGAAATATTATGTATAAATATGAGTCGAATTCCAAGCCAAAGACAGTCCAGTTCCTACCTCGGTCTCTCCTAGAGTTCGAAACTCTAGGGAGCCGATCACCGGTGGCTCTGCCCAAAATTCCACTTCACCTTAGACTCTGAGGTTGTTTTGTTTACCAGAAACTGTGTTATTATTTCGTTCTTCGGTGCAAGTGCACACAAGAAGCCTGTTTCATTTTATTCATGTAAGAAATACGACTTGTCTTTATCAAGACATTAGTCAAAAATATTTGACTTGTAAGAAATTAACTGTGTCCTTTTCAGGACACAGTTCACCTTTAAACCACGTCCTAACCTACATTGGATAAGTGCCTAGGATATTTCGCAAGCTATACGCGAACATCCTAGTGCAGAGCGTATAGCGGAGCAGACGATGTTATAGGTCCATTTCCGCTGAGACGACATGGCGCCCAACAATGGATTCTGTACCGGACCACGACCCAGCTCGACGGCAACTCACAGGCCAAGCTTACACACAATTGACTTCAACATGGGTTGAAGTCAAGAGAACAGTGGGGAGAGCCGCGGAGTATTAAAATGCTACACTTTAATACTCCGCCATCGAGCTTTGTGATAGTCCGGATGCCTTATGTGTACCAGAGGTCTCGACGAACCGATCTTCTTCGAAGCTTCAGCCCCGGAAGCTACCGGAATGTCCCCCGGAGTAGCTAGTAGTGCTTACCTGGTAACGGAACGCCATATAGGGAGCAAGCTACTACCGGCTGGACGTAGCCATGGACAACCTGATCGCAGGGAAAAAGACAAACCGCCGAGGGAAATGGTGCACCGACCGCAGATGGAGCCTGCCACAGAGGGAGATGCAGAAACATCCGGCCACCCAGTTCAAGATAAGTGTTGTGTGTGTAAAGACCTTTTAAAAATTTTCTGTTCTTTCAATTCTTTTAATATTC